AAAACCATTTTAGAAAATTTATAAAATATATACAGTGCACGTATAAACAAATTTCTATCTTTGACACGAATTATAAATAATTAAAAGTAAACTTTAGAACTTTGACAACGTTCTATGGACATCCAAAATATTTTTTAAACATGATTAAAAATTTTTTGTTGTTCTTAGAAAAAATGCGAGATATCTGAAAATTCTGTAATTATGACTTGAAACAATATAATCAACTCATTCTTCGTGTTATCATCGAATAATTTTTATATCGACAATCATTTATTCGACCGGACGTATCGTATCAGTGACATGTCGGTTCCGTTTGAACGGCAAACACACAACGTAATCAAAGTGCGTGATGAACACCAAGCGGAAGCAGGAAGAAAAGTCGACATGCTTGTCATTAAAACCGATCAGAATAATAAGCGATCGTTTCTCATCACCAGAGTCAGTCGAGCATTAATTTCGTACTATGAGGACGTTGGGGTCGGCGAAGGACATCGCTTTGTCTAAAGTAATGCCCTTGTCGTGATAAAACTCTCAATTGTGTCTCAATGCAATCGTGAGATTACTCAAATATTATTTCATGTTTTCATTTTCCTCACCACACACACACACACACACACACACACACACACACACACACACACACACACACACACACACAACAATAACTAATATATATATATATATATATATATAATAATAAATAATAATAATAATAATATATTATATATATATATATATATATATATATATATATATAAAACTTTACACTTTTCTCGTGAGTGCATTCGCTTCAAGGGACTTATCTCCCTCTCCTGATAAAAATAAAATAATTCACTGTATCTTGTATCTATAATAAAACAAGATACATCATCCGTATGATTAGCGTAATTCGTTCCTTCTAACAATTTCGGCCGAAACCTATTGCGATGCGCAGTGAACTATAATCTTCCGCTACCATCGCCGCTGAATTAGCAGAAGTGATATGTACAAAGCGATTAATTATCTCTCCTCTCGGGAAATTCTGCTTGCACACGTTTTGCAAGCGAAAACACAAACAATTTTCACGCACGTTTCACGTTTGTTTAGACGGCAAAATTTTTCCGACGTCCGATTGCTGTTTTTCGTGTCTGAAAGGATTTATTTGGTTTGCCGAATTTATCGTTGATTAAAGTAACGAGCTTAGGAATTAGAAGAAACCTTGTATATGTCATATTTCGTCCTTAATACCCCCATATGTATCCTTTATTGATCAATTAAATAATAGCAATTATTAATGTTCTCTATTTGTCGTACTTTCACAAGAAATTATTATATTACACACTCAAATAAAATTCTTCATATTAGCCTTTCTATTTCAGAACTTAAATTATTTATAATAATATTTTATGGCTATCATCAGTTGATAGTGTTATTATTTTGCATATAAATTATGTACAAAGGATATCCACTTTGACATCAAATATACAAATCATATAATCCATTGAGGAAAAAGAAAAAGGCTAAGAGGCTCCATGAAAAAAAGAATATTGCTATTATTGGAGGTAATAGCAAATAAATTTGCTCTTATTTGAAAATTTATCTAGCAAACTAGAAGTTGAACTATTTTCTCTTTCCTAATGGGTCTCCGTTCGTGTCATAATATCGAGTCACCCACTGTCTCTATGTTATATCGATGTTCCGCCAACACTCTCGCCCGAGACAGAAGTTTCCGCTTTCGATGATGGAGTAGAACACAGTTTCTCGGATGTGAACGAAATCTAGCCAAGCCTTGTCCGTACACCATGTGCCACTCTCCGGTCGTGGTTTACCATCTTCCACCCGCGGAAAACATGTGTCGAACCATATCGCCGTCAACCGAATTGGGACACGTTCGATACTCCGCTTGTCTACGTACGAGCTCGTTATCGAAGAACATGCCCATTAAGCTTCCGTGGCCGTGATTAAATTTGGATAACGTGAAACCGCTATAACGACGCTAACCCGAGCTCAATGCGGTAAATAAATTAAATCGTCAAGCGCGCGTGCCTGGCAATATAAATTATATTGCCAGATCGGGCCAGAAGGGACACGTTGATTCTATTTTACGAGGGAAAATTGATGGTGTATGTCGTTTCGCATTTTTCATGTGGTTTCACAACATTTCGAACCGCCGATGTTGACGATAAAGCGAATCGCCAATGGGGAATCCAAAATGCGCGAGTGCGCTTTCGTTATATCGATCGGTCGTGGGATCCTTCGAGGACTCATTTCGTCGGCGCGACGTGCGAAGTGTTTCGTGCAACAAGTACCTAGCGATAACTGATAGCCCCCCGAAGGGGGCTCTGCAATTCTGCGACCCCTCGCAAGAGACGGTCCCCCCGAGACCACAGTCGCGTCTCGTTTTGCGCGTTGCCATCAGCGCAACAAGTTGTCTGAAACCGCCGCTTTATATAATCGACTTTGCCAATCGGCAAACTCGTTTCGTGGAAACCGATCATCGGTCATCGAATAATCCAAAAAGTTTCGCGTGCCTCGCGCAGCACCCCAAGAAGAGGAAAGATCGCGACCTCCTCCCCGATATTTTAAAAAAAAAAAAAATCCTTCTAATTCCCGTAATTGCGGCGGGGATGCAAATAAAGATGAAAATGTTATTATCATCCCCGTTGCATAAATACAACCGATACCAGGGAGTGGCGGGTTAATTCATCACGAAACGACAGGTCGAGATTAATGGCAGCGTGGCGAATCCACGGCGAATAAAGTTCTCGCGTGCGCATGAATTATGGGATTCTCGTAGAAAATTCGCGGTCAGTGGGACACGAAAAAAGGAATAAGAGGAAGGTCGAGTTGTAATGTCGTTGTATACCTACGCCTCGCGTGATGGCACAGTACAGGTGCAGGTTTCACTGATGGAATCGAGGAAAAATGGATAAAAGGAACGAGCGGATGAGGGTCGACATCGATCGCGCTTCCGCACCGTCCGCGCCGATATCATAAAATTAAACATTTTTTTTTCAATCTTATCCAAATATACCTATCCTTTACAAATTTGCCGTGAAACACGATTATTTGCCTCGGTCTGTCATTTCCTAAGTACAAACAGTTCTACTATTCGGCAAATTCCATTTTGCAAAGTACCGTCGCGGTGTTTATATGTATAAACTGCATAAGCGGACACGTGGTGGATTACGTTTTATACAACCCGAGACACGGGGAAGAGAGTCGCACTCTCGCGTTAGTAATAAAATTGCAGGGGACTGGAACGCGATCGCTAAATAACACGCGATTATGCATTCGCGGAGATTTATTATTCCGTCGCGTATACTTCGCTCTCGGAAATGCCCCGCTCATCCACGCGCGGTTCGCCCATTAATCATAAGGGAGAAACTTCCGGATCGTTCCATGTCAAATTGACCGACAAATTAAATCTGGATCGCTAATTTAAGAACTTAGGCTGTATACCGCGCGCCTATTAATTATACCTATTAATTAAATTTTAATTTCTAAGTTCTACGTTTCGGAAAATTATTAATTGACCATAAACTAAAAATAAGAAAGAAATAAAAGAGAAAATTACATTCAGATTTATCTTATTTAGTAAAATGATAAGAAATAAGTCTCCAGTATACTACGCAACAATAACCTTTTTTTTTTTTAGACAATAACTTTAGCTTTAAGAACATCTAAATTTAAACTGAATATATGCAAAAAAGGAGCAATCCTCCTAAGAAAAGAGGATTACGAATTGAAATAGTCTTTTTTATGTAAGATCTTAAATCTCAGCTTGGTAATTTATTAAAAAAATCGATATAGGCCTTTCTAAAGGTAAAGTCTTACAATCTCGTCTTTTAACTCGGTATAATCTATTAAAAAGCCATCTGAGATGAGAAAATGTTCTTTTACCATCGTGATTCTTATTGATAAAATGATCATTTTCATTTCTATATTCATACTAAAATATCTGCTTTAACTTGGAGCTCATTATTTCTGCATTAACTTAAAGAATTTGCGATTTGCGATATCAGAACATGATGTAATAATGCGCCAGTAGAGAATAACACACGATAGCAAATAATCCGATAAATTCTTGTAAATACCTATGTAACGCGTGGCAATCACGTATATGGGAGCGCGTGGAGGAATTCAGTATGAAATTCTCCGTTCACCATATTTGCGGGATCGATATGTGTTGTATTCGAAAGGACGGCGATTTAGGAAGACAAGATTTTACCGGGATTTAGGGTTTTAATGGCATTACTCGCATTCCACTACAGTTAATTATGTGGTAACCGATACATTACTGCAAAACTATTGTGAAACTAATAATTGAAAATTAGGTTAGCGATCGGCGAAATATAAATGTCAACGAGTTTCGATATTATAGCGATATGTAGCGATGTTGACGTCTTATTAGATCGGTCATAAATTATCTCTAGGGTAATAATTGGAAATGTTTAACGAGGTCTAATCAGACTCAAACGCCTGGACAGCCTGGACAGTCTCATCAATGTGTGTACCGCGATGTTTTATGATTCATATCCCAACTTAAATTGTAGGCTACCGACTATTAATAGTCGATGGTGTAAAATTCAACAACGAGGCGAACGAGGTCGCATTTTCCCTTCGTCGCGAGACGGCAGGCTAGCTAGCAATTGCACCAGCCGTCTCTCACAAATCGTATCGACGTAGTCGTCTACTACGGGAGAGATACGCTAATGGTCGATAATGGAACTGCCGCGGCACCGTCGAAATCAAATTATGCCACTCGGCAGCTGCTTGTTGCCGTGATCCGCAAAACAATATGTCGCGGAAAATACGCGTTTCTTCGGCGTCATCATCGAAGACGTTAGACGAAGTCAGTAAGAGACTTTCTTTCGTTTAAACGACGATGTTACATCACACGAATATATATATAAATTTTTTTAGCTTTATGAATTTATCAATTATGTGTATTAATTAAATACGCAATTTATATTATTTATATTATTTATTAATTATGTACGCAAATTATTTATAAGGATAATTTTCTCTCTCTCTCTCTCTCTTCTCTCTAGTTAGAGAACTATTCTCATGAATAATTTGCACTTGTAAAAAGAACGACACGTGTAACGTGTTCGCATAAAAAGATGTCGAGAGTTAGATGCTTATTCAAATGTGTAAAAAAATCTTATCTATTTATTCTATAATGCATTGTCATGAAAGATCGTAATATTTTCTTTTCGATAGACTTTAAATTCGTAAAACTTGTAAGAATGTCCTTACGCGTAGAAATCCAGTCTGTGCTTGTGTCTTTGAAACGCGAGATTACAATTAACTTGATTGAATTCAACATTTAATTAGGATGTGACATTTCGCGTATAATACCACGATGTCCTTGACTATCTAATTTAACTTGCGTTACATGTCGATATTTATATGATATTACAAATGCTAATGATAGATGAGCTGAAGCATACCGCTGAAGATAATATCGTTTACATCGTGTGTCTGCTATGTGTAAATACAAAGTTCGCTTGATATAACTTAGTATAATATGCAAGTCATGTTTTCGATAAAATTGTAAAATGAAATGACCAAGATAACGATCGAGAGATATCAATACTTTATAGCAGGCAGATCTGTTTAGTGCTCGGTAATAAATTTGAATAAATTATTTATTATTCAAAGTCACCTTTACTAAAGACGCCTGTGACTTTTTTAGATTTTTCAGACGAAATCGCCATCATGACGGAATCACAAAAAGGAATTTGGTGGCCCAACGAAGTCGACAAATTTACTTGAACCGAGTGCTTCGCTTGTCTAAGAAAAAAATCACGAACGAGAAAGAAAGAGAAAGAAAATAAAGCACGCGAGAGGAAGAGGAGGAATGGGCCCTTGGGCCTTCGGCGTAATTCTCATCCTCGTGTCAACTCTGGGTCTTCTCTTGAATGGCTACATTCTCCTTGTCGTTTTCGGTCTTGGTAAACAGGTGAACGATAACAATCAGATATTTATAACACGCGTGAAATTTTTCATCTATACTATTTTCTTTTTTTATTTTTTTCTCTAACTTTTGTCAAGTAATTTTTTTCTACTTCTGGTCGAATCGTGTCTTTAGCAATGACGCGCTAATCAGGATGGATTTCAGTTTAAACGTGACTCGCCGTTAATTTTGTAGAAGCTGCCGTAAGCG